ATAGCCATTCCAAGTGGCTGGAGGTCATGCCTGTGTCTTCTACCACAGCTGCCAAGACTATTCAAGTGTTGAGAAACATTTTTGCTGCACACGGGCTGCCAGATGTTCTGGTGTCAGATAACGGTCCTCAATTTACTTCTACTGAGTTTCAGGGGTTTCTACAGGCCAACATGATCCGCCACGCTGCTTCGGCTCCTTTTCATCCTTCCACCAACGGTCTGGCTGAACGGATGGTCCGCGTCGCCAAGGACGCCCTCAAGAAGCTGACTTACGGCAATTGGCATCACAGGTTGGCTGACCTTCTTCTAGCCCATCGTACTACTCCGTGCACTGCCACGGGTAAGTGCCTGGCTGAACTCCGTTGGGGTCGTCGGCTCGTGACTAAATTGGACAGGCTGCATCCGGAGCGTGTAGCTTCGCAGGTGTCTCAGCCACACCCACCACGGGTCCTGCGTGAAGGTGATCCTGTCTGGGCCAGGAACTACGGGCCTGGACACCTCTGGGTCCCGGCTGTGGTCTGCAAGGTCTCGGGGCCTCTGTCCTATGAGGTGTCCCTGGAAGACGGCCGCGTTCTTCGCCGCCACATTGATCAACTACGTGTGAGGCGGGACTCGCCTGGGGTTCCTCCTCAGTCTCCTCTAGGGGGGGGAGGAGGAATGGGGAATGCATTCTGGGAATCAGAATCAGCTGCCAACAACGGTTGTGGGGAATGACACGGGTACTCAACACCCAAGTTCCACAAGTGATTCAGGTAGCTATTCATGGGAAAGGGGGCACACAGACACCCCCAAACACACTCCAGCCTGGGAGTCCCACCGGAGGTATACTAATTATCCACACCTCACAAACAATACTCCAGACACGGAGAATAACTGGGAGCATGCTCACAACTCACAATATGCAAGAGAGCAGGCAAAACAAAGGGGGAACACGTCCTTTGCAGAAATGGCTCATAGAAGGATGTCCCCACGCATAAGGGCTAACAGGGAGGCATCCCTAGACCCTATCACTACAGAAAGGAGCCAGGAAAACCACACTCTGTCAGGAAACGTGGAGATGAGTTCAGAGGGGTTGGAAAACTCCATAGGTGGTAGGTCAACCAGGTATAGCGATCAGCAGAGTCCTGACTTCTCGAGCCTAGGAGATGGGCAGGAAAGTCAAACAGAAGTCACGAGACAACCACAGGTTAATTCACCTAGTGTGGGAAGCAATGGGGAAAACACTACAAGCTCCCCAGGTCCGAGAAGGTCACTAAGGGTCAAAGGCCCTCCCAAATACCTTGCAGATTACGTAAGGTGAGCATGTATATATTAATAACTTGAATTAGAGGTCCAGGCTGGTTGACTCTATGGACACGATGTTGGGGCCATCGGGTCTCTGTACGACGGAACAGCCCCACACCTTACACACACAATGTGATATTAATACAACAGTATTTATACAAATCATTATTATGATGGCGTCCATGTTGGGCGCAGTATTATTTCATCTAGGGGGGAGGGGTGTTGTGTCCTGAGCCTGTAAAAGCAGGCTCGGGACGTTGCAAGAGTTCCGGGCATTTGCAAAAGCTGCCCGGGACCAGACTGAGTGGCGCCGGCCTTGCGCGCATGCACAAGGCGGGAAAAGACCGCCTTGTGATTGGTTGGAATTGCCCGGGGATCAGAAGGTATAAATAGAGGCCTGCGTGCCTCTGCTCGGGTTGTTCGTGGAATGGAAGCAGAGAATAAAGACCTGTTAGAAATGCATCGTCTCAAGCGCCATTATTCTCCGGACTTAACAGGTAACATGGTTGGTAATATGGCTTCCCCATTGTTTTTGCTTGTCAGAACGTCTCAAAGCAGATTGCATGACACCGGGACACTGCGACCGTCATAAATGTGAGTCGGTTGCCAAGCATCCGAATTTTGATCATGTGACCATGCTGCAACGGTCGTTAAGTGTAAAAAACGGTCATAAGTGCCTTCAAACTTTGAACAGTCACTAAATTAACTATTGTAAATCAAGGACTACCTGTATAACATCTCTCCCATTGTGACTCTATAGCGCCATATTATGGCGATTTTATCATGCCGCTGGGGGAGATCATTCGTGGCTTTGGGGTGGATTTCCATCAGTACGCTGATGATACGCAGCTGTACATTTCCACCCCAGGCCACCCCAACGATGCCCTTGACGTGATGACCCGTTGCCTGGAGGCCGTACGGGTCTGGATGGGGAGGAACAGACTCAGGCTCAACCCTTCCAAGACCGAGTGGCTGTGGCTGCCG